GTGTGCGTTTGCCTCGTGCAATCTCGGGCTCATTTCATTAACTCAGCATGCATTAGTGCCTACTTCTGCACCCAGCAGACTGTGCATGAGTAAAGCCTTACAGTCTATAGAGGGTAAACCTGCATACAGATCGTTTTAAAGCAGAATCTGCTTGTGGTTTGTTCTATCTGTCACCAATAACTGATGAGGTAAAGTCAAAACAGTGATATCCTAACTGGTATCTTTAGAAACTGGTCATCTTCCTCTTTATTTAGCACAAATATACATTTTTAACAAGATTTCAAGAGATCTTCCATTTGTTTGTGCTTTGTTAACCTTAAAAAAACGATTGTAACTACTTCCATGAACCAAACAAGTGATGCTTTCATTTTGGATGCAAACACACTGGCTTGCAGAAGTAGTCAAAACTCTTAATATACTTTTTTTTTTCATTTTATATCGTTGCACACAAAACATTACATGTCAAACTGCAACACGAAGAAGCACAGCTAAAGTTTTGGAGAAGTTTTCCACAAGCCCTGCAGGAAACTCGACAGATGATGAGACCAACATACAAAACACACTCAGAGCACAACATCCCTACGATAGTGCATGGGGGGTTTCTTCACTAGAAAAAGGGAAATCTGTCGATGTGACGGTGGAGAAAGGTCAAATTAAGGCCAATCCTGCAGTAAAATCCAATTGAAAAGCTGCAAAAGACTCGAGATTGAGTCACAGGTTCCCCTTCCAGCAGACCAGAGCTACAAGGGAATGTTTCACATCAGTTATTTCCAAACAAGTTGAAAATGCTCACAGGCCACAAAAATTCACGTTTTTTTTTTTTTTTTTTTTTTTTCCCAAAAATGATGGACCCGAAACATAAAAAGTGTCACTCTGGCTGGTTTCGTTTCTGGCTGCACCTACAGCTCTGTTGCTTGGTAGAAAAGGGGTTCTGGGCTCCAGTCCTTGCCTGTGGCCTTTCTGCATGAAGTTTGAATGTTCTCCCTAAGCACAGGTGGGTTCTCTCTGAGTACTGCAGCTCATACCCTAAGAAGTGTGCCTTCGCATAAACCACCTACTCTGGCTGCAAAGTTGGCAAATTTGTTGAGTTCTGGACCTGGGCTGAACAAAACCATTCTGAGGGCCGACAATGGCCCCTGAGCCACGCTTTGGACACTGCTGGTTTAGCTCAAAGCATAGTAATGTGTCTGAAGAAGCCAAGGTCCAGACTTGAATGTGATTGAAATTCTCTGGCAAGACTCAGACATTTATTTTGACAGCCTTTCTCCTTGTAATATTATTGAGCTATTTTGTGAAGAATGAGCAAAGAATGGAGTCTGTAGATGTGGAAAGCAGGACAGCTTCACCTGAAAGGGGCGTCCAGCTGTAACTGCAGGAACAGGTAGCTCTATAAAACGGGATTAATGGACATAGGCTGCCTCTTAAAGTTCCAGGAAGATGCTGAAAGAAAGTTTAAGGGGTATCAATACTTCTGCACGCATGAATGAGGCATAGATGAAAAGAAACCAGGCTAAATAATTGCTTCCAATCAGAGAACCACCGTTACATTGTCTGCCAAAGGAACGACCTGTCTGGTGTGTGTGTGTGTGTGTGTGTGTGTGTGTGTGTGTGCGTGTGTGTTGGTGCACCTGCACAGCTACAACACAAACTCCACAAAGTAGATTTCTAACAGCCCAGCTTTCCCTGTGTGCGGATCATAAAGCCATCCATGACGGGTCAACATGTTACCAAATAGGTTACATAATACGCATGACGATGAAAACGGAGCACTGTACGCGTACAGTGCATTAGTCAGACGTTTGTGTCTACAAACGTCACAAACGATGGGAGAAAACCTGCGCTCCGTTCAGCCAACACGAACCGAACCGACGGCGTTTACGTTCAGCTCATTTCGCCTTGAAACAAACAAGCAGCCGTTCAGATCACGTTAGGAAATCCGAATCGGACACAAACGCGTTTCATCCAACCCCGAAAGGCATTTCCTTGAAGTTTTGGACGTGTGCTTAAAAAGAAAAAGGGGGAAAAAAATAAAAAAAAATCCATCCAATAATAATTAAAGAAAAAAAAAAAACAGGGAGTCCAAAACGCGAAGCTCCGAGCGCCTTACCTCTTTCCAGTGTGAGCGGCTGGACCACTGTCGCCATGACTGCTGTTTACTGGAGACTGAAGAGAAGAGAGGAGCTGCAGCATCACAGACAGAGCGAGGAGCCACAGAGAGGGAGGCTGGGAGTGGTTACAGGAAGATTTGATCTGCTCCCATCCTCTCATCACTTTGTTGCTCCTGTTTGCAGGAAAAGCACCGCTGGTTTCGTCAAAAACTTGCGCAATTGTGCGTGCTAATTTTTCAAACTTATGCAGCAGAAACGATCACCTTATGTGTGACTAGAATGATAAATAAGGGAAGAAATTAAAACAGGTGGGATTTTTTTTTAGCAAAACGAAGCAAAAAAAAGCATTACTGCATTACTTTCTGAAACAGGTTCACAACAAATCAGCTGATTTTCTACAGTGCCTTGCAAAAGTATTCACACTCCGTGCAACCTCGTACTTAAACTGATTTGTGTATGTGAAGTGAGAGAATAGAATATTATTGTGAAAGAAAAATTGTACTTACAAAAATCTGAAAAGTGTGGCATGCTTTTGTACTTTGCAGAAGCCAGTTTTGCATGTCTTTGAGGGAATGCCTTCATCAGCTTTTTACAGCTAAAGATGAAGCCATTGGAGAAAGATCGACTGCAAACATCAAGACTTGCCTCTCTTGCCTATCTTTAATGTTTTTGTCCTAGTGAATATGTATTTATACTGATAACAAATAATAAAAATATATATCACTTAAGAATATCAGCGTAAACGGGGCTAATCGCAAATGCACACCATAGTTGCCTCTTTATATATTTGTTTTACAAAAAAAAACTGTTGTAAACTTCAAAACTTTTTCCGTTCGTGTTCTAGTCACATATAAAATCTAATTTAAATATACCGAGGTTCACATTTGTGAGTATGTTCAGTGGATTTTTTTTTTCTAAGCAGTTACAGGAAGAGCCCTCCACTATCATTAAATGTGCAAATTCACTCTTACAAAGTCAAGATGTTCTCCTGTAACCATTTTCACTCTTCAGAGTGGGATCTCAGCTTGATGATGGAGGAAATCTGAGGAAGGTGACATTAGCAACAACAAACTTACAGCAACGATTCCTTCAACGGAGGTTTTCCACAACAACCTGAACAAAGCAATTTTCTAAAAATGTCTTAGTGTAAAAAAAAAAAAAAAAATTAAACATTTGCTTTTGCTTAGCAACTTGGAATACCTGACAACAACATAGATGTGGCCATAGCTTACATAAAAGCTGAATTAGAAACAAAATGTCTATCTCACTAATTTATCAACATATTCTACGAATATTTGCATAATTTTTGTTTTCGCACGTCTGAACAACCGCGATCCAAGTGATCCATCCAGCCACCGCGCCGCTGTGATCAGTTGGCCGGGAACACGGCTGCCATTAAGGTATATTGTGGAGCGCTGAGCCATGCTTCCTCTTATCTCCTCATTTGCCTTCATGCGCTGCGTGCGGCCTGATAACGACTAAATGACGGCAGTGAACCGAAGTTGAAGGGTTTAAGGATTAATCTTGATGTTTACGCGCCGCCGTAGAGCCGAAGCACTGACTCTCCTCGGATACTGTACATCAGCCGCTAAATGGTGCCTGAAGTCCTGGCGCTGCGGTTAGAGCCGATGGAAGTCATGCTAAAAAAACAAAAACGAAACAAAACAGATCTTTAAAAAATAAAAATGTTAGAAATTTGTGACAGATGTGTTTGCATGGGTCACAAATCCAAGCTGAACGTGAAGAAACGCCTGAAGCAAGAAGCAAAGAAGCTGTTTAAAGTGAATATGTTCATACTCACACATGATGATGTTTATTTAGTTTTGTACGACAGAAGCTAGAGGAGTGTGAACTTACACCTCAGGAGCTCTAACTGTACTTCATAGAAATAAAACAGTGATGCTATTTTTGGAGGGTTATTACATGATTAGAAGTTTTTTTTTAAAACTTTTTCTAAACCTTCACACTCGTAATTACACAGTCAGGATGTGCTGGTGAATTCCAGCCATCCCACCCAGCTGTTTGCTGAGGTGAAGCATTTAGTGGATAGAGGGTGAGGGCTTAGGGAGCATGCAGAAGGAGGCCACAGTGAGATTACAGGCTCACATCCATGTGGGCTGTAATACAGTTCTGCTTTTTTTTTTTTTTCCCAAGAGCTAGGATTATATTGCACTGCTTAATGCCCTCCCACTGCAAGAGAACTGATTTCTCAAAGGCGTCCCCTCATCCTAAAGGACACACAAGAGGCCACGCAGACGGGCCAAATCGGGATTGTCGTCCCAGAGTAAAATCTGCCATTAGCGCGTGTTAGAGTTTGGTTTGCGATGCTGGATTCCTCTCAGGATCTACTAAGTTCTAAATGCTGTGATGGTATTTTGGGAATTAATTTTTCAATGAAAGTGAATTTAGCTGCTTGCCATTTGTAAACTAACTCTGCAAAAAAAAAAACTTCCCTTGACGTTTCTTCTGTGTCTTTGTCTTCATGCTGCCGTTTGTTCTCTTATGTTCCTCTGAGACCTTCACAGAAACTCGATTTGCCTGAGATTATTTTACTTATGCGACTTACTGACTACCTGATTCCGTTTGGTGGAACAGAATTATATTTCAGTGGATTAGAGTACATGGAAATATGCTTCATTTGTAAGACAAACACACATATATCAATGTCATTTCACATATTATGCACTTTGACTTTGTATGTCACATTCTAATCTGACAAAAAACATGTAAGTTTGTGCTTGTAGCATGGCAAAACGTTGAAGGGGTGTGCTTCTTTAAAATTTGAACCATAGCAAGTTGATGTTACTGTTCTTCCCTAAAACGACGACAACTGGGAATTATTGTGTTTCAAGTCAAAAAGCAATCTTTATCTCAAAGCTTATTTTATTATAAATCCATATTCAGACACTCGGCAGTGAAGAAATATAGAAATGCAGATAATCGGAAACTCTTTTCTCAACCTTTTAGAATTTAAACTCAAATGATGAAATCAGAAAGGAGGGCAAAAAGAGCAGCTATAAAAACCTCAGTTTCATCCTGATAAGCCTGGTAAAGATGCTGTTACTGTAGTTAGTGCTTTCTGTCAGAATGCAACATGTCCTGCCAGTTATTTGTGCAAACAGAAACTGTTTGAAGGAACACTGATGTAGGGGGAACAATTGAAATAAATTGCTTTTTTAATTAAAAGAGAAAAAAACTGATTGAAAGTTCGCAAGTGGGATGCAAATTAAAGAGGAAAATATTTGTTTGGAGGTTATTTCCTGTCACAGTTTAAATTTCCATCAAAGCAATAAGTGTAACGAACACAGTAGTTGCACAGGCTGCCACTTCCCCGGAGAGAGAACCATACGTCTGATGGAAACATTGTTCAACACATATAAATAGAAACAGATGATGTGAAATATCAGATGGTTGAGTTACTCAATTCCAATGGGATTCAGTGCAGAGGTCATGTCCAGGGAGGGTCAACTGGATTATGGGTATTTTTACCAGGAGCTGTGATGGAAGAACCGCGCACAAAAACACCAGAGATCAGTGAGAAACTGCTGCTGCACAAGAGAGTAGTTCAGACATTAGAGCTGCACAAGTGACTGAGAATTAATGTTCTTTTATTCATCCCCCCTTACTTTGAAACCCTTAAATTACAGTGCTACCTTGGTCTGAAACCTCAATTATGCTTCATATGAAGTGAAATTTCATATTTCAGCATCAGATAAGTGTTGATCAAAATCAACAACAACAACAAAAAATGAGTTCAGGAAAGTATAATGAGGTTTCTGGTTGTAGAGTAACAAAATGAGATAAAGTTAATTGATTTGAGTAGGCCACGTTTGTAATATTTTCTCCTGGAGAAAATGTTATGCAATTATTTTTGGAAAATAAACCTAAGAAATAGCTGAGAATCTAGTTTTTGAAGAGCATTACAGGCTACATTGCAGCTTTGGTTATGTAATTTTTTTCCTCCCCCTTGTCGTAGCGCAAAGCTCCTCCTGCGTCAACTACATCCAGTTCATAGTTCGCATTCCTTGAGGGCATTGTAGTAGGATTTCTAATGAGGTCTTCTCTGCCTTCAGGGGCCCCAGGTGAACTCCTTCCGTGTTGAATCGTGCAGCTGGGTTTGTTACCTGCAACGAGGACATCGTGTCAAAGTACTGTTTAAGTCAGCAGAAACTATGCATTCCCAAATAAAGTACTTGGTGCGCCTGAAGCCCTGCGCTGCGGCTCGCAGCAAGCGGATCCTCGAGAGGAAACTCTGGTCTCACTGTGCAGTAAAACAACAGTTAGAAGGAGGCTTTAGCGCGACAGGACTAAAGCATGCAGCTGCAAGAGAACATGCTGTTGTCGGAACACAGCGCTGCAGGAACTATGCATCTGACTGCGCGTACAGCCGAGCTTTCGCTTCGGCAAGGGACCACCCGGAAACTTTCTGGGGTGAGATGGCGCAGAATATAAGCTGGTTTGAGCCGTGGAGCAAAACTCTGCACGTAGAGGACCCGGTGTTTCCAAACTGGTAGGTTTTCAGCAAATGTTTTTATGCTACACATATCAAACTGACTAGAAGAAAGAAATTAAACAACCCCCATCATGTTTCCTCAATTAAGGTGAAAGATAATAAACGGTATCCAAAACTCAAATTACTCACAAAAAAACAGCTCAGTTTATGGAGCGCCAAATATGCCATAATGTGAATACGTCATTCAAGTGTTACGCAAGTGCTATTCAGAAAATAAAAGTAGAACAAAAATTCATTAAATAAAAAACAAAATATTGATGTCAGAGGAAACCCTTATTTAACAAATAAAAGTTACGCAAATAGAATATCAGCTGTCCTGCTACACAGAGGCAACCAGTTTTTTTATGGTATGTCTGAAATGCCAAAAAAATCTACCTGTTGCATAGTAGATTTTTTATATTCAAAGACATTAATTGTACTGTAATTATAATAAAAGGGTTTAAACAAATTTGAGCAAATTTAACAATATGTTGAAAGCAGCCATTAGTTTTGACATGTAAATGAACAAAAAATGTGTTTTGATGTTTTGTGGGGTCTACTTTAGTGTTTTATGGTGTTTTTTAAACAAAATTGTATATTTTAGCATCAGAATTAAATTTAATTTTGCTTTTTCATAGCCCTTACTTTTCCTTTTTGTTGTATTATAAGGCAAAAAGTTGAATGCAACTGCAAAATTGTCAGTTAAAAATTAGAGAAATTGTCTTTAATATAATCATGGCGGTCTACAATGCACAGAGCAATCTGTGTAATAAAAGAAGACAGCAAAAGCCTTCAAGAAAACAGATTAACCACCTGAGTTTATTTTATTTTGGAGTTGTCACTTACACCATCTGATCTAGAAGGAAAATATTCTGAACGCTGGATCTCAGTGACATTCACAAACAAATTATTCTCCCTTCTTGCAATTTAACTGTATTCAAAGCAGCATAATGGTCTACCATTAGACCAATGTCTCTGTAATCTGCAAAAAGAGACCTTTGTCACATGAGTTTGTCCTCTACACATCCTTTTAAGCATAATCAAGAGTGCACATGTTTGCACATCTCTTAAAAGATGCTAATGTGCAGCTAAGATCAATTCTATTTCACATAATAGATAGCAACTCTAATCTTGACTAAACTTTTTGTAGTCATGCTAAACCAAACCTACAAATATCTTCCGTATTCTTAAAGAACCAACAAATTAAAGGTATTTGTTTAGATGTGAATGTGATGCATGTATCTCTGTGACGTTTAAAGGTCTGCCTTTCTGCCAGGTTTGTAGGAGGGAAGTTAAACGTGTGCTTCAACGCTGTGGATCGTCATGTTGAGAGTGGCCGCGGAGAGCAGCCAGCCATCATTTATGACAGTCCAGTGACTGGAACGAAGAAGATCGTCACCTTCCGAGAACTGCAGGACCAAGTGTGTGTTAGCAAACGAAACAAAGAACTGAACAGCACAATTAGCCTCCTATAAGATCAAACATATTCATAAGGTTTGATTTTAAGGTTTGCAAGCAAAATGTGTTTGGTTTTGTGAAGGTAAAAGTTGGCAGTTCATGACAGCCATCATTTTGTTTTTAAAAATAAACTTTGTCGTAAAAACTCCAGTCTTTTAGCACGACTGCTTTATGTCATGTCGAGTTTATATTCAGTTTTCTGCATCACTTCCTCTGATCCAGGTGTCCAGACTAGCAGGAGTCCTCGTGAAAAATGGGGTTCAGAAAGGAGACCTTGTTGTCATCTACATGCCCATGGTGCCCCAGGCCATGTTCACCATGCTGGCCTGTGCACGGATTGGTGCTCCACACAGCCTAATTTTTGGTGGCTTTGCTTCCAAGGAGCTGTCAGTCCGCATTGATCATGCCAAAGTAAGGATTCTCTGCTTTTCACCCTGCATATGTTTTTTTTACTACATCTGTACTTTTGTTCTTAGGAAGCTGCTGATATACATTACGTTTTGTCTTAATAGGGTGATGTGTATCCATATCTGTGTCTGTGTGTGTGTTCTGTAAATAATTAAAAGATAAATGTACTTGACTCACCTTTGCTATTTTTAGTTAAATATGATTAATCATTACCCAAGAAAACCCACATCATGTTTACTTTACACACGCCTATCCATCATTTCAGTGCCACCATGATTCACTCTTTGACTGATACTAATGTTTGGTTTAACATCCCCAACCACATTACTGAAAAAAAAAACATGGGATTTTCTCAATCTATCAACAAACCTCGGGTCCAATCACTTTCTTTCATTTAAATTTATTGGATTGCTGGCACAGACTGGATTTCTAAGCATAGTGCATCTCAATACGGTTGAGATTGCAGCTTTTAAAAAAAGGCCATACTTGTATCTTAATGATCTGATGTAACTATTCGAAACCAGTTTGATAGTTTTGGCGAGGTTCATGGTTCATTATCATCTTGGAACCCCCTGTTATGCTTGCAAATGTGTAAACCATCTGTCCCAAAATGGCCCATGAATGAATGTGTCAGGATCTTTTAGGGAGAAGCCAGTAGTAACCTCTGCTGCAAAGTCAGCACCTTCTGGAGAAAAGTTTTAATGTTGGACAAGACAAAGTTTTAGCTATTTGTGACAAGAAGTATGTTTTGCAGAGTGAGAATTGTGGATGGGTTGAAAAGTCCTATTCGTTTTGAGTTTCAACATGACGAATCCAAAAGCAAACTTATGTTGGGATGAATAAAACATGCTAACAGTGAGCTAACTTTCATTAAACTGGCCTTCTGAAAGCTCTGGTGTAATGAACACTTATGGATTAGGTTTAAAAGTTGTTTTTTGCTAGAAAACGTACTACCGTATTTTTCGGACTTTTTTCCCCCCAAGCTTTGAACCATGCGGCTTTCCTGTGGATTTTTCTTCAACCGCCAGGGGGCTCTTTAGCAGGAAGTAAACAATTGGAAGTCAAAATTAGAAATCAAAGAAGAAAATGCCCGCTATCTAATATAGTTAGCCTGGAATTAATAAAGTGAGTTCAGTTACACAAATATAGTGGAGGCGTGCTGGGATTTTTGCATAAAACAGCAAAATTGTTTTACCTGAATCTCTAGATTGGGTGAAACATGACAGAAAAATCAAATATGCAGTTTTTATTTTACATCGAAACGACTCCAGGTAACTCAGGTTGAGTGAAAAATTGAAGAGAGTGATACAAAGCAAGCAAGCAGCCAAACTTTTAAAACAAATGTTTTTTTGTTGTTGTTTTTCACTTTTATATGCTTCAACCCTCTTAATTTGAAAGGCTACAGGAAATGCCTTTGATCACGTAGGAAGGCCCCAGGTGTGCAGCAGGCTTGCACTTGATTGCGCAACTGCCAGGAAGGCCTTGTGCGAACTGCATTCTGGAGAACACTCCAATTAGTTATTCTCTTTCAACATTTTCCCATGATTGGTGTTTTTGCAGCCCAAGATGTTGGTGACGGCCTCGTTCGGCATCGAGCCAGGAAGAAGAGTTGAGTACATCCCTCTGGTGAAGAAGGCGCTGGAGATGAGCTCTCACAGACCCTCCAAGGTCCTCATCTACAGCAGGCCCAACATGGTGAGGCGGTCTGGCTAACGCAGCAGAAATCTGCATCCCACACTGTGGCAGGGTGACGGAACATGCAGGTTTCTAAAATACACAAAAGGCTTGCATTTCAAGCAAGCTGACTTTTATGTGGCTCACTTGTAAATTATGATTTATAATCAAATCAAAAACATGCAGTTTGTATGTGACATTTGAGAATGCTGAGTATGACTGAGATGTTGTTTGCAGTTTGGCAGGAATCCAGTTTGGAAGCAGACCGGCTTTTATTGAGCATGTATACAAGAAAATGTAACGTTATGTTGGTTAAATTAGGCTGAACTTGATTATGAATACTTTAATAGTTAATTTAGGTAACGTTTGTCACGTTTAAATACAAACATTGGAGCAATTTCTTTACAATGTCTCGCATGTTGCTAACATGCTAACTCAAAGTTAAGGTGTTTACTGAAAGGAGAAAAATACACACAGAGATCAAACTATTTTTATTGGCAAAAAATGCTTTTAGAAAGTTAAACTTTTAAATGTTTTTCTTTGTTTCAGGACAAAGTTTCCCTCGATCCAGAGCTGAGTCTGGACTGGGACCAGGAAATGGCCGCTTCTCGTCCACATGACTGTGTTCCTTTACCCTCCAACCATCCTCTGTATGTCCTCTATACGTCTGGGACCACAGGAACACCAAAGGTACTGGCCATCAGTTACTGGTTTATTATTGACTTCAAGTAGGGTCGCTTCTTGACTGTCAGATGACTGAGAAAGAAAAACTCTTTACCTTGATTTAAAAACTTCAAGTTTCTGAACACCAGCAGAAAAATGTTGAGCATAATTCAAAGGTTTTGACGCAGCGTTAATATGCCTGTCAGCAGAAAATCAATGACTTGCCCTTCAGAAACAGGAATTTTCAGACATGTATGCATTTTTATTTGCAAAAAAATCTCTACCCAGTAGTTTGGTAAACTTTCTATTTATATGTCCTAGATTTCAGAATATTGATATTTTTCTTTTCCTATGATGGAAAGCTGCAGATGTGAAACTACAAAATTCATAGTCAGGCTATGAATTTTTATTCTTGGGAATTTAAAGATATGGTTGAGCTTTTACTTATTAGCAAATGCAGTAGTTGTATAAAAGTATACTGTGATGTTTTTCTGTGCTTGGATGTTAAATGCAGCTTTTTCTTTGTGTATTTATGGTTTCAGTTTTCAGGTGGGAGGCAACAAATTAATTTTTTTTTTTTTAAAAAAAGGACGATTTTCACTTTGTCTGAAATGCTGTTTATCTGCAAAACTGTGCAAAAATATCCAAGAAAATCAAAATAACCTGAGTTATCCTGCTGTGATCTGATGATTATATCCCTGAGCCGTTTAGCAAACAAAAATCTGAGTTACTCTACAATTATAGGCATAAATGAATATTTTAATCATTAGTTATTCTCTCAGAAACTGATTAGCAATGAATCTTGTCTGCTCAGAGAAGTTGGGAGACTTATTGTCTGAGTTTGTCCTAAGTAGCTGTTATTTATGGAGGCTGTGTGTGACTCATCAGATCTTCAATGCTGCGAAACAATCTGCAGCCGATATAAAATCCATCACTCTGACATAAATACGACAGAACATTTCCACAGCAGCAGGAGTTGATTCAAACAAAAACAAAAAAATCATTGACGCCCTGCAATAGCATAATTTATTTTTCACTAAAAGGTAATAAAAGAGTCTCATGGGCTTCTCCTTAATGGAGCTGCAATTGGCAACTTTTTCCCGTTCGCTGCAATGTGCTCACATGGTTGACCAAGATGGAGCCTGACGCCACTGTGTGTCGGAAGCATTAATTCGAAAACAAAATATAATCCCGCTCCACACTGCCCGGCTGAGCATCTGTGTTTTAACCGATATTAGAGCCCTGCTTTGTGAAATACCTGTCACTGCTTTAATGTCTTTCTTATCTCATTCCCCAGGGCGTTGTGAGAGACACTGCAGGCTACGCCGTTATGCTGAAATGGACCATGTCAAATATTTATGGACTCAGTCCCGGAGATGTAAGTTGATAAAGCGTTCTCTCCTGAGTTATTGCTATTCTTATGGGGAGGGGGGAAAAAAAAGAGTAAGCAATCAGCAAAGAGATGGATGAATTTTCACTTCAGGGATGATTTGATTACAGTGAGAAACACAATAGCTTTTTAACTTTCTATTTTCAGCTACATTCATCATTTAGATGTCTGATATTTGATTTACATTTTCAGTGCCTTCAAGCTTTTAAAGCCTTATTTTTTTGTCCCTTGTTTTAATGCAATTCAAAGAATGATAATGTAGCTCTTGTTCTGTGATGTATGATATTACATACATATATTCATTTGGTGCAGGTTTGGTGGGCTGCCTCTGATCTGGGCTGGGTGGTCGGCCATTCCTACATCTGTTACGCTCCTCTTCTCCATGGTAACAGCACCATTTTATATGAGGTATGTCGCTTTTAGAACAAGACGGGTGTAGAAATGGTGCAAAATAAGTTTGGCCTGCAAAGCATGCAAACGTATTACAGCAGCATGTAGACATGTGAGGAATGCTGATCAGGACAATGTAGCGTACAGTTATGAAGTAGAAGGAAAGATGATTTTGAGAAATTAGTTCTCAGAATGTGTTGAAAATCCCCTTGTAGTGACGTCATGCTGTTGAGATGCTTTTCTTCTGTGACTTCTTCAAGCTGCAAAGCATTGTAGACTTGGAGATTTTCCTTCTGTCTGTTTGCAGTTGAAATTTGACTAAGATTTTCCCATTTTTGCAAAAAAACACGTTCACTTTTCAGTCCTAAGACATATAGATGTGGACAGACCCCCAAAGGCTTCCTGTTGTAGTTGCAGTGAAAGCAAACATGTTGGAAATCATGTTTGTAGATTTCTGCGTAGCGAGTTTGAGGCATTCAGGACTCAAACTGTTTTGCAGAAAGCGTCTGTCATGTTTGTTTTTAGGGCACGCTTCCTTTATTTGCTGCTTTTCTCTTTCACAGATGTGACACCTTTGTGTGATTCAGGCTTTCCCACCTTGAGGTGAAATTTCATCTTGTTAAAAAGCCACAGAGCAGTTTTTGATCAATGTGTTCTTGACATTAATTTATTTGCTTGGTATTAATTCTTTGAGGTTTATACAATTATGTCTGTTTTGATGCGCAGACTGTTCTGAGGTTTTTCCATTTGCTGATTATGCCGTTTCTTTCAGTTCTGATTAGATATCCTCTATGATTTTTCTCTGAGGGAAGCAGCCTCCCTTCAGTAAGACTGATTTATTGTTTTTTTCTTTCCTTGTGAGTCTTTGTTTAAAATGTTTTCATTAATTCTCCGCTGCACACAAACACAAATGTCAGTTTATGTGACATAACTACATTTACAGGTCTGGACTTTGACTGTGCCACTCAAGCATCAACCATATCATTGCAGTTCACTTCAGTTTACTTGTACAGCACCGATTCATTCATGTGTGGTGTTTTACAGATACTGTTTCCATGTCTTGTTGGTGTTTTGGGTTGCAGACGGACACATTTTATTTTATGTTCCTGATTGTAGGGAAAGCCAGTCGGGACTCCAGATCCTGGCGCGTTCTTCCGTGTCCTGTCGGAGTACGGACCGTCGTCTATGTTTACCGCACCCACCGCAATCCGGGCCATTCGGCAGCAGGACCCCGGCGCCGCAGCCGGCAGGAAATACCCTTTGACCAGGTAGATATCACTGCATCATGTAATGATCAGCCACATCAAGACACGTTTTCTCTCTTGATTTGGAAACTAGCAAATGAGAAGGTCATAAATAGATGATTGACAGATAATTTATTGCTGGCAGTTCTGTTAGTTTGTTTTTTAGCAACTGTAGTTTTTAAAAATGCTAAAAGATGTTTTGTGTGGTCTGTGTTTGGTAGCTGCGGAGCGGCAAACTAAGTACAGCTTTATTTATATGCTACCTTTCAGGATATAAAATCACAAAGTGCTTCACAAGAGCCAGCAGTGCATTAAAAAAGTCCTGATGCAGTACAGTGTAGATTTTACAGCCCATTTGCAAACAATTGATGTTTCAGGATGTTCACAATATGCTGCCAGATTTTCTACTCTCCCACATAAATGTGTTTTTCTGTGTCTAAGCATGCATGGCAGCTTCACAGCCTCAGCTTGTTTTGCTCTTCATGTGACGATACCTGTAGCAGGGAGTTAAATACATTTTTTTTCTTTTTATTAGTTTGGTCCAGTGATTCAGGTACTTGCCGAGACGATCACATTTGTCAAATGTTTGTTGTGGAGCAGAAAACTTGGACCGGAGGGTTGGTTTGTCAGTTTATCGCTTCATTCTTGTTCAGCAGTCTGAAATGCCTCTCGGCGCACAATCGTAAAGCAATTCTGAATCTTGGTGACCTTTGGCCTCAGTGCCTCATTCAGTAAATGCAGCAGTGTGTGTTGGGTCCTCTGTTGCAGGCGCTGAATAAACTGCAGCTTTTGAAACTGCAGTCATTTAGGTTTAATAATTTTTCAATGTGCTAACTTGTTTATTCAAGATCACCGTTTTTCTTCTGGTCAAAATAAAACGCCTGTGTGACATAGTGGTAGAATAACAAAGACAACATAATTTTACTCCACTGTGATTTGCTAAATTTCCACTTTAATGGTCAGTATTTTACTAGAATTTAACAATCTTACTGAAACGAGGAAACAAATGTTTGGGTTCTACGGTAAAGACCAAATTTGCCACAATAAGACGTCAATTTTTGTGATTTTTCTAATTTATCCACACATCTAAAACTATGAAAGGAGTGTTGGTAGTTCTGTTTCTAATCCAGAATGTGCAGAGAGTTGTACAACCTTTGAGAAAAGCCTTAAAGCTTTATTACCAAACATAATTTCATGCTAGAGTTCAAACCCTGATTTGATGCAGCTCACTTGTTCTTTCTTCAGCTTATTAACACAGACCCAGGCTTCCTCCTGAGCCTGTGCTGAGCCCTTGTAGTGCGATTGAGCTGCATCCCTTGTTAACACGTCGGACGTGGCGGTAATTAGGTTGTCCAAAAATATAGCATGAGCAGACAAGCTTTTAGCAGAATTGTCGAGGAAAAATGAAATACTTTGGAGAGACACTTTTGGAAACAAGACGGCAAACCAAGCGGATGCTTTGTGGTAAATAAAAGATTCATGTGTTGTGATTTAAAGTTGAGTTTGGGTTGTGACTGTGAGGCTGAATCAAAGGTGCTGGTAATGGCTACTGTTTGTCTTGGTGGTAGTTTTTTGGATCAGTGGTTTTATGCTGTTAAAAGCTGAAGTTGTTAAATAAAATGCGATCGGGGGGGGGGAGGTTGCTCCAAAGACCCGCCTCTTATTTCAATACTAATCCCTCTAAGAGATTTGTTGGACTGTGCTGCAACAGTTTGCACATTTACTTTGAGATTTGAAATTTATTTTAGACCAGTATTGATCTGCTTCCTCAACAGAAATGTAAGCAGAGCGTGGCGTAGCTCCATGAATGTTAAAATTAAAGATACTTTCTTCAGGAGTCATCAGTTATGCGTGTATAAAACAATAACTGCAGACACTAAAAACATTTCTGGCACGTTTTATGTCTGCATGACGGTTAATTGTTTCGGCTTTTTGAAGGAAAACGGTTTACTCTGTTTCTTCGTAGGTTGCAGACGTTGTTCTTGGCAGGAGAGCGGTGCGATGTCGAGACGCTGGAGTGGGCAAAGAAGAACTTTGGCGTTCCGGTTCTGGATCACTGGTGGCAGACGGGTGAGAAAATGTTCATTTTCCTCAGATGAAAATTCACAAATGTCTGTCATTTTGGGGTTTCACCTTTTCTGGGCTTTACTTGTGACCGAAGACGGTCGGTCTTCAATTATGAAGGGAAGAAAGGAAGGAAAAGACGTTAATGGACTAGAATTTAAATCGAGGCTTTAATCTGTGAAGTTTGAGCTGCTGTGTTCTCGTTTTCCTACGATTAGATGTTATGGATCCGTCACCAACGCCAGATAGGTGGCGGCGATTGCCACTTATATCTGGATTTCTGCTCAAAAATGTAATTTTGCATAGCTGATATATTTTAGTGCAGGATTTCATCATTGCAGTTTTAATAAAAGCCATACCTCTCTTACGCCCCACATCTCTGATCAGTCGCAGCAAATTGTAAAAGTTTGCAGAAGCGTGCGGTTCTGCATGACGGCCAGACAGTACTGCAGCTTTAGGGTTTTTTTTGTTTTTTTTTTAAGGCCATCTTTATTATTGATTCTTGAATTTGAAAAGTGGTTTGTCATGGAATGGATTGTTGAATGCAGGGAGCATACTAATGTCAGACCCCTTCACCTCCCACCGTGTGATTGCTTTTATCCCGAGTGCCACAGAGCTGTGATAAATGTGTTAGGCACCGCATACGAGCACAATTGGACGCCTCTTTGTTTTGAAATATCCTGGCGGTGCAAATGGAGGATCGATGCTGGACGAGATGACATATCTGTGTTAAATATGGAATCGATGCAGCTGTTGGATTGCTCGAAAGCCATTGACCTTGAGCGTTTGTGCGTGCTACGCTCTTCAGATTAGGGTGCAGATTAGCCCACTTGACCAATTAGTCTGTCCAGGATCGATTGGATTGTGTAGAGTTCAGTATTGGAATAATACAGAAATGTGATTCGTCAAATTGATCTATTGTTGAAGGTACAGCCAGTGTATTATAGCAACAGAGCTAGAGCCGCCTCGGTTCTTTATGCGTGCCTCAGAGGCTAAATCTTTGAGAGCCAGAGTTTATTATTTCCTTCTGTTAAACTGCTGAGAAACAAAAGTAGGAGCAACGAAAGGAAGGAACAATTCAGGCACAAATTTATAAAGGTGCAGACAGACGATGGGTAAAGTTTCTATCTTCAACCAGGTGTTAAAACTGAACTGCAGTGCTAGCAATGAGTCTAAACCATTGATGCTTTAGACTCATGAATTAAAATATGTTCAGTCTGCAAACTCAGACTATGTCCTAGAGAATCCAAGCACCATTTTCACTCTGTGAAGGATATTGCAGGTAATATCTCTCAGTTTGGAGACAAATGAACCAGAATAGTTTTTATATGCTATAAATTGGCAAACTGATTGCAGGATTTACACCTACATTTAAGCTTGTTAGTTAATTTTATGATTTGAAATATTGCTAATTTAATCCATTTGCTTTTAGTTTAGTATTTGAACATTGAGTTTTACAAAACAATGTTGCCGCTTTTGTTTTCTGTCTGACTGCCACTGGCTGCAGATATTCTTGGTGGAGATGTTTGCCTTGTGTCATTACTTTGCTTCACAGCACACAGACTTGAACTTCTCCTAAGATCAGAAGGATGCTGGTCTGTCTCCTGCATCACAGTGGGAGAGGAATGCTAACTAGACCAAGGTCACTGTTCTTTGTGATAAGTTACTTTTGACAGCAGACACCAGCTTTTATTTTATTAATTTTTATAGGATTGATATGAAGTCAGACTAAATGTCTTGGAAGTAATTTCATTTAGCACCGTACAGAGAGGAAATCTAAAAAAAAAGAAGCATAATTGAAGCTTTGGACTTTCCACAAACTGTAGCTCTAAGTTCATTTAAATAGTTTTACTGCACATAAGTTCAATGCTATAGTCTTTGTTTCTGATTACCTTTTAACTCCTATTACATTTTTTATTTCTAAATCCTCAATCCAGTTTGGCATGACTTATTTTTATTAGGATTGATAAATGCTGCATTATTAAGCAAGCGATTAGCCCAATCTACCTGTAATTTGACTCTAAGTGAGAGCAGTCAGCCTCAGTTTGGCAGGTAGAATAAGTTTAAGTAATTCTGCATGTTGGCAGCGAACTACTGAGCTTATGAGCCCTAATTAGTCATATATAGGCTGCAGGTAGTTGTTAAATCACCTTGCAGAAGCTCTGATGATGCAGAGGCTCCTGCAGGTTAAAATAAGCAGAATGTGTCTTGCATAAGATGTTTGAAGCATTTACTATTCATACAGCAGTTTGGGAGCTGTTGCAGGTAACAGAGCACACAGCTACACACAGATTTATGGCTTTTTTTTGTTTTATTGCTTTGTGCTTTATGTGTCTGCTCTATTTATAAACTCTGCACACTGTGCCTGTTAATTTTTACATTGAATCTGACTTCAGCTCCGTTCGGCTGGATTAAAACCTAATCCAACCTGTAAGTGGATAAAAGTTTTTTCTCCTAGCAGGCAACCTTTAAGATAACATTTCATTCTATGAAATACCGACATGTTTATAACGCGGCCCTTCTGCTCTATGCTCTCACGGTCACATCCTAAGACAAAACCCCGTCGTCATTCATACCAGGTGATTTATAGAGTTTAGAGAGAAACCTGTGGCGCCCTCCTGATTTCTGCCTCCATGTGTAAATCCAATACGATGCTCACCCTCTGCTAAGCTCTGCAGCCTGCAGCTGGAATCCAAATCTCCACTTTTTCATGGCAGAGCGGGCTGCTAGCCATCTCTCGCTTTCTGTGTCAGACACTGTGTGACTTCAGATATGAGGGGCAATAAAGCAGCTATTATCTGTGAAACAGTTTGGAAATATTCCGTGTTATTTGAGTAACCTTTAAAAGATGATACGCTTCCTGTGCTGAATCTTAGAGGGGCTGCCCTAATCTCCATTATTCAGAGTTGCCTTGCATATGTAATTGAGCTCTGGCCTTTTTCAAACCTTATTATAGTACTGTTATCAGTTTGACACTGGTTGAATATTGTTTTCTGTTTATTGCAGGTGGAGGTGCACTGGTTTCACTGGCTGAAGCCTTTTTAGTTGAGATGTTCTTTCGATAAGATGTAACTTGAGTGAACAAAAAGGTTTTTCACTGCAGAGCTCTATTATTGGTTTAATTATTACATATTATCATATTAGACCCTCGTTAGGCAGCTGTAAGGCTGATTCATGGTGCCACAAGCGTAGAACGTTTATACACTTCTGTTTATTTCAAATGTGGCCAAGAACTTTATTAAGTGGACAGGATTCTAGATGATGGACTTACATTTTTTCTCCGTCTTGATCAACACAGACTTTCTTCTTAGCTGCCACTGTGTGCCGATTCTACCTCACACACGTCAGTGGAGGGCCTCGGTTTGAAGAACGAAAGGCCCAGCTGACGCAAAACTTGCAGCTTGTTCTGCCGTTCCCCCAAACAGAAGTACGATCGCGTCGCTCTCCAAACAGGAGGCCACTTCCCACACAGCGTCTTTCACCTCCCGGATTAAATTCCTTTTGTCATCACTCATGTCACGCTAAGTTAACGTGTCGTTGGAAATATTTAACGGTACAATCCCGCTGCGCAGAGATGACTAGTTTGACCGATTTTACCATTTAGTGTGCCGTATCTGGTTCGAGCAGTAAAGATTGGTTTCTCATGTGCAAAGCGGAACAGATTGGCGAGTTTCTCTCCGCGTTGAGGGAACTTGGTCGTGTTTTATGCCGATTCATCAGCTGAGATGGATCTCAGCTTTTCCTCGTCGTCTCCCATCGCCTCATTTTAAACGAGTCCAGTTGTTCATGTTCTCCTCTGACAGTCGAAGATGCTGCGAGTTGACCTCCGTGTCCCCTTCCAACCAACCAGCCCGTACAGCTCCTCACCTGTTTGTTTCTGACCCACCTGATGCCAGCAGCTGCTCAGCTCACCTGCCTGCTCTCTGCATATGAGAATGTGTCTGACGTTTTGAGCCTTGATGATAATCTACGAGCTATTTTAAGACCCAAGTGGCATTGGAAGGGGGTGGAGAGGGCTGAGGATGAAGGTTGCTGATGTCACGACTGTTGCCTGGCAACAAATGTGTATTTCCAGTCGGCAGGTTCAGGCTGCCTGCATGAAAAGGGGGCGACGGATGCACTTGTGATGTTTTAGGTGTGTGTTCTTTTGACTTTTCCTCTGCTTTTTTTCTGTTTTGTCTTCTGAGAGGTCATCTTGATCAGAGTTTCCCTCTTTAGCCGTGCCGGTAACTGAGCTGGCACAGGCGTGTACATATTGGCCCGTCTCAGAAGGTCAGACTCTGTGAAGGGGGGATGGTGGAGTAGAAGGAAAAACCGATTTTAGAAGAACTGAGTATTCACAAGATCAAAAGGAATGACAGTGGAGGAGCAGAAAATATGCACAAAATATTGAATCAAATTCAGTTGTTTCTTTAATTTTTCAATACATCAGGAAGCTGGTAGAAGAGGTTGCTCACATTGCTTTTTAAAGATTTTGGTAAAACGGGGAAAAATCTTGAATTTTGAGACTATCAGTTTTACTGAATTACATGTGTGACTTGGTTTGGATTTGCATTCATAATGTGTTACAGGAAATAACTGCACAAGATTTCTTAAGATTGTTTTGCCACATTGGGTGCGTTCACACTACAGCCTGAAGTGACCCAACTCCGATTTTTTTTTGACGTAAT